GTAACGTGCTGTATTAGTTTTCTGGGGCTGCCATAACAAGTGATCACAAATGTTGTGGTTTAAGCCATTCAAATGTATTATCTTACAGCTCTGTAAGTTAGAAATCCAACATGGGTCTCACTGGGCTAAAATCCAGGCATTGGCAGGGCTGCGTTCCTTTCTGAAAGCTCTAGAGGAAAATCAGTTACTCTGCCTTTTCTAGAGATGACCCACATTCCTTGGCTTATGGCCTCTTCCTCCATCTTCAAAGCAAATAAAGGAGGTCTAGTTCTTCTCACATCACACTACCCTGACCATTCTTTTGTTGTCATGTCTCCATGTGCCTACAGCCAGGAAAGGTTCTCTGCCTTTAAGGAATCAGGTGGTTAGATTTGGCACACCTGGATAATCCATGACAATCTTCCCACCTCAGGGTCTTAATTTCAATGGCATCTGCAAAGTCCCTTTTGCCATGTCAGGTAATATATTCATAGGTTCCCAGGGGTAGGATATGAACATTTTGGGGAGCTATTAGTCTGCCTATCACACATGCAAACATTAACAATGAGAAAGCTGGAGTGGCTACCAGACACTTGCACATGAAACGTTCATCAAAACAGGCTGTAGACTGGACCATATAAAAGGCCCAGAAGTTTCAATAAATGTAAAAAAGATTGAACTCACACAGAGTATGCTCTCTGACCACAAAGGAATTAAATTAGAAATCAGGAATAGAAAGATTTGGAAGTAACAAGGGAAATTACAAAATATTTTGCACTGAGTGAAAATGAAAACAAAATTTGTGGGATGCAGCAAAAACAGTGCTGGGTGGGAACTTTAGAGCTTTGAGTGCTTATATTAAAAAAGAAGAAAGGTCCAAAGTCAATAATCAAACCTTCTGGGACTTTCCTGGTGGCACAGTGGTTAAGAATCCGCCCACCAATGCAGGGGACACGGGTTCGAGTCCTGGTCCAGGAAGATCCCACGTGCCGCGGAGCAACTAAGCCCGTGTGCCACAACTACTGAGCCCGCATGCCACAACTACTGAAGCCCACGCGCCTAGAGCCCGTGCTCCGCAACAAGAGAAACCACTGCAGTAAGAAGCCCATGCACCACAACAAAGAGTAGCTCCCTCTAGCTGCAACTAGAGAAAGCCTGTGTGCAGCCATGAAGACCCAACACAGCCAAAAATAAATAAATATATAAAATTTAAAAAAGATTTTTAAAACAGGCTAATATGAAAATATTATAAACAACTTCATGCCAATAAGTTTGACTCTTCAGATGAAATGGACACATTCTTAAAAGACACTTACATCTACTTCCTATTGCTGCTGTTTACCACAAAGATGGTGACTTTTATTTTTGGCCGCGCCACACGCCTTGCAGGATCTTAGTTCCCCAGGGACTGAACCCAGGCCCACAGCAGTGAAAGTGCCAAGTGCTAACCACTAGACCACCAGGGAATTCCCCCATTTAAAAGAACACAAATTCACCGTCCACCTTAGAGTTCCGGAAGCCAGAAATCCAAAATGCATCTCACCTCGCTAAAGCCAAGGTATTGGCAGGATTGCGTTCCTTCTGGAGGCTCTGGAGGAGAATGTGTTTCCCTCCCTTTCCCAGCTTCTGCATTCCTTGCCCTCTGGCTTCCAGACAGCAATTGCCTCACTGTGACCTCTGCTTCTGTTGTCACATCTCCTCTCTGACACTCTTGCCTCCCTCTTACAAAGACCCTTGTGATTACACTGGACCCATCAGATCATCCAGAATAATCTTCCCAATTCAAGATCCTTCACTTTACCGCATACTTAAAGTTGCTTTTGCCACATAAGTTAACATATTCACAGGTTTTGGCGACTAAGACAAAGGCATCCTGGGAGGTCATTCTGCCTACCAGAGACACAAATGGCCAAAATGGATACACAAAGAGAGGGAATGTTGAATAGCCCCATATCTACTAAAGATCTTCCCACAAAGAAGCCTCCAGGCTGGGATGGCTTCAGTGGTGAATTATGTCAAACATCTAAGGAAGAAATGGAATTTGACTCATCATACCAAACACAAAAATTAACCTGAAACGGATCATAGGCCTAAACATAAAAGCATAAACAAGAAAACTTCTAGAAGAACACATAGAATATGTTTTTGGCCTTGGGACAGGCAAAGAATTTTTGATAGGACACAAAAAGCATGAACTATAAAAGAAAGAAAGAAATTTTTCCTTCATCAAAATAAAAACCTCATCAAAAGACAATGTTAAGAAAAAAAAAGGTAAGCCACAGATTGGAGAAAATATTTGCAGTGCATACATCTGGCCAAGACTACTTTCCATAATAAGTAAAGAACTCTTACAACTCAAAAATAAGGCAAACAATTCACTAGAAACAGTGGGTGAGGAAGATAATGGCCAAATGGCCAAAAGCACATGAGAAGCTACTCGACAGCATTACGCAATAGGGAAATACTTACTAAAGCCATATTAATATACTCCTGATTGATAAAGTAAAAAAAAAAAAGGCTAAAAATACCAAGCGTTAGCAAGGATGCAAAACATCTGAACCTCTCACATACTGCTGGTCAGAATAAAAAATTGTACAACCACTTTGGAAAACAATCTGACAGTTTCTTATTAAGTTAAATATATATATATATATATATATATATTTAGTATATGACTTGGCAACTCCAATTCTAGATTTTTCCTTCTGATAAGACACATGTAACATAAAACATGAAACATATGAAAACATATGTCTACACAAAGACTTGTCCTTTAATGATCATAGCAGCTTTTTTCAAGATAACCAAAACCTGGAAACAACTAACATGTCCATTAATAGGTGAGTAGAAAAATTATGGTATACCCATACCATAGAAGACTACTCAGAAATAAAAAGGAACAAACTATTCATACCTATAAGAGAATAGATGAACCTCAAAAATATTATGCTGTGGGAAAAAAAAAGAAGACACAAAAGAGTATATACTGTATGATTGCCATTTACATGAAATTCTAGAACAGGCAAAACTAATCTGTCTTGACAGGAAGCAGATCAGTGGTTGACTGGGGATGAGGATGACGGCAACTGACTGCAAAGGGGCATGAGGTAGTAACCTCATTTTTTGCAGTGATGGAAATTTTGATTAGAAGGTGTATATATTTGTCAAAATTCATTGAACCGTGCACTCAAAGTGGGTACATATTATTACATGTGAGTTGTAACCCAATAACGTTTTTTTTAAATGAAACAAAAAAAGTTAAAAATATGAAAACACTTGGGCCCCATTCCAAGCGATTCCAACACAGCAGGACTAATACGGGGCCCAGAAATCTGCGTTTTAAACCAGCTCCATAGAGAATTATGCTGCAGGCTGTTTTGCTTATAGAAACGGTATTGGTTTCTATGAACACCCAACTCGTATTTAGACAACAAATCAACTAGGCAAGCAAAGAAAATTCAGAAGAAAAGTGTTTGAGTTTTTGTGGGCCCTCATCCCACCGCTCAACCTCCATTCCTCAGCTGGAATACCAGTCACTACCAAAGCATCCTCCTGGAAGCTGGCTCAGCTGTGGTTAAGCTCCCTTCACGCATTCTTTACAAAAGGAAGTCTGCTAGGAAAATGGATGGGAGGAAAGCACAGTAAAAACACAAGTGCAGAGAAACCAATATATTTATTTGCAGAGCACAGATCCTTTCCCATAATGTCATTCAAGTCTGGCACCAGACGGGCTTGGCTGGCCCAGCTCACGGGACACGTGGTACCAACAGATATGCCTACTCTGGGGGGGAACAGCAGGTCCATAGGGAGGCTGGTGGCCCACCTCGGTGGAAGATACAACAGTACAACAGATATGCTAAGGGTACTCATAGCCCAGAGGAAAGGGTCATTTTTTTGCCAGACTGGATTGAACGGAGGTGCTCTATTTCCATTCCGTAGTCTTTTCCTGCTGCCTGACATATCTCCCCTGTCTTCCTCTGTTCTACTTGTTGAAACACTTCGCATCCCTCAAGGCCCAGCTTGAATAACACCTCCGCCTTATCAGATCACCATAGTCAAACACAACTTCCCACTCCCCCCAACTCCTGCGGCACTTGGCTTGAAGAGCGCTTACAGAAATTTTGATTGGTATTTTAGATATTCATGTGCGTGCTGTATCTACTAGGCTGTAATCTTGATTATAGAAACTATAACTTATGGTCCATGCTAGGGCTAAACTACATAGTTCCTAGTACGTTACTTGGCACTTAGTGTGTGTTTTATGTACGTGTATTGTAGAAAGTAATGAATGATTCAGTCCATGCGGATTCCTATCTCTGAGCTTTTGCTTATGCTCTTCCCCCTTTCTAGAAAATCCTTCCCACTTCAAGTGTTATTCCCTCCAAGGAGCCTTCCCAAATCCCCAAGCTGTTGGGCTCCTATAGCGCTCTGGGCAATCTCTATCTTATCACTTACAACCACCACCTTCTATTGAAATTAAATATTACCTGTTTCTCCTACTTAATCAGAAGCGTCAAGAAGCCAAAGAGTCCGTCCTAGTCATCCTTATCTTACCACCACCTAGCACAGTGTTCGGTGTAGTATGCATTTCATAAATATTTTTCAAACAGAATGCTCTCTTAAGAAGTTTCTGGAAGCATTAGCCCTGTGACACAGAGGGCCCGGTTTATTTAGTCTGTGTTCCCATTAGAGTGGCCCAAACTGTCCTGAGGTCTCATTCCCAGACAAAATCCAGCGGAAACAGCCTTCCCACCCGAACTTTCTCCTTGGCTGGAGGGGTAGGACCGGATGTTCTCTGGGGTCCCTTACTGTCCTCTGATCCCCCCGATCCAGGGAAGCCCCCAGCAGAACAGACCGCCGAGCGTGTGGCCTCTCCTCACAAGGTCTTTAAGGTGGACCCTCGTCCTCTGGGATGACTGGACATAGGAAAAAGAACCCGTGACCTTTCAGACCACTTCTCTCTCCTTTCACCACCTTTCCTTTCTGCGCTTCCTCGTTCTCCCAGCCGCTCTCCTCCTCCTCTTTCCGCATCTGCTTCTGCTCTCCTACCGGTCCCACCGCACCCTCCCGGTGCCGCTGCTTCCGCCTGGCCGGCTTTCCCTTTCTCGCCAGTTGCCGCTCATCCATCCCGGGTCCCTTCGTTTATCCTGCTCCTCCGCCAGCCCTGCAGGAAGCCGAGACTCCTCACGAAGCGTAGAGGTGGGAGGTGGAGGGGAGGGGTGGGCCCTGGCGCCGCGGTCCCGCCCCTCGTGCGTGTGTGAATGTCTGTGTGGCGGTGACGCGGCGCCGGCGGAGAGCGAGGCGAGCGGATCGCCGGGGCTGCTCGGCTCCTGCGCGCCCTCGCGCTCCCCGCCGCCCGCCCAGGCGCAGGCAGGGCGCAGGCGGCGGCGGGCGGCATGGAGAGCTTGCTGGAGAACCCGGTGCGCGCCGTGCTCTACCTCAAGGAGCTCACGGCCATCGTGCAGAACCAGCAGAGCCTCATCCACACGCAGCGCCAGCGCATCGACGAGCTGGAGCGGCGGCTGGACGAGCTAAGCGCCGAGAACCGCAGCCTGTGGGAGCACCAGCAGCTGCTGCAAGCCGTGCCTCCGCCCGGGCTCGTCCCCCCGTCACCAGCCCCGCTGCCGGCCACCCCGGCCACCGCCGCCTCCGGGGCCCAGGAACAGCTCCGGGACCACGGACAGCTCCCGCCCACCGCGCCCGAGAAGCCCCCGCTTCAGCACCACGGACAGCTCCTGGCGCAGCCCCAGCCGGGCCCCAGCGGCAGGGCTCACGCATCCCAGCCGCCCCACCACCACCCGGCGGGGCCAGGGGCCGTCGCCGACAAGGAGAAGGAGCGTCCCCCGAGCTGTTGCGCCGCTGCTGGAACCCTCCTTCAGCACAAATCCCCCGCCGCCCTCGGCAAGGGCGTCCTGAGCAGGAGACCCGAGTGAGTGGGGAAGGCGGCACGGGGACCAACGTGCCGGGAGGAAGGGAAGCAAACGGGCGTGAGGAGGGGACAAGGGGGAAGTGGGGTGCACCCGAGACTGAAGGACTAGGGCCTTCAGTGTGCTTGCGGGGAGAAGTGTGTCAAGGAGGCTTGGGGGAAAGGAGGGAATGAGATCAGTGTCTGAGAGGGCTTGGGAGGTGTTGGAGCAAACGGGAGTATCCCAACCATCACTGGGGGCAAAGGAGGAAAGAAATGAGGGTTATTGGAAACTGGCAGATTTTAAAGGGGACAAGACTGGGGGGCAGATTAAACTGAAGGAAAGAGAACAGTTGAAGAATCTTTTCAAGTTAGGAAAAATCTGGATGGGAGTTTGGGTAGTAAAATTATTCGAATGGAGAGTGAGCTATGAAAAAGACAGAGGCTTGGCAAAGAGACGTGTTGAGAGCTTTGAAAAGGGCAGGGTCCAGGAACAGCAGACCTGGGGTCTGAGGGGATTCAGAAGGCAGAGCACAAGGCTGAGAGGCAGGATGATGTGAGAAGGCGGGGGGCTGGAGACAGAGGAAGAGGAAGGGTGGGAGAAAGCGTTTCCCAGAGGAACGAGGTGGCTGTTTAAGTGATGCAGTGGGAGTCCAAGCCAGCAGTGGCTCATTTGGACACGCTTACTCTGCTCTGACCTGAGTGGGCACCTTTCTTCTGAATGCCCACAGACCCAGAGGGGTGCAAGGTAACAACCCACCAGGCCCATAGAGGGTCCCTTTATAGTGTCCGGATTCAGCCTGGTTACAGCTTTTTCCTCTGACTCAAGGAGGATTTCTGTGCTGGGTGTTAGCAGTCGTGGAAAGGGGATAATGATGAGAGAGACAGTTGGCTTGCGGAGATGGTATTTGGGTGGAATTCCTGTTTAAATCTCTGTTGTGGCTGGTGACTGCAAACCTTGCTTCCCCTGGTTATTTGGTGATGACTGGAATCCCATGTTAGGTCCAGAGAGAAATATGCTCATTAGCCCCTGATGAGAAACTCTAGGACTTCAAGCTCTTTCTTTATGCCCAATGTCCATGAACTAGAGATATGGGGAGAAGAGATGAAAGAGGATTGGAATATTCTCTCTTCTGCATTGGGAAGGCTGTGACCAAGTCAGCTTCCTTTCTCTCATTAGACAGGTGATAGAAGAACACCTCACGGGAAATCAGAACCTAGTCAGCGCCTGCCCCTGACGATGGGGATGCTAAGGGAGTTGGGGGAGGGGGTGGGAAGGGTGGAGAGCCAAGAATCATCTTCAGCAGCCTTGGCGTGCTTTAGTCTAAGGCTACTTGTGAAGACTTGATGTAGACTCATTTTCTCCTCGCATCTACTGCAGAGTTAGACAAGTTGGGTCAGGACACAGGGTAGATTTGACCAGAACTTCGGGTCCTTAGGCAGAAGATCCAGGATGATCTCGTAGCATTTGATGCAAGTCCCAAGAAGATGTGGTTTTCCTTCCTACCTTCCTCAATGGCCCATTTGCCCTTCCTTCAGTTTAATGGTTTTCTTTCCTTATCTGGCAGAAAAAGCAGAAAGTCAGTTTTCCCTCAGTGCCCATGGCTCAGTAAGAGGCAAAAGGCAAAAAAAAAAAAAAAAAAAGGAAAAAGAATCCAAGATATTATGTGGCTTTTTCCCCAAATACGGGCAGCTATTCCATTCCATTTCCCGGGAGTAGCCACGGCTTCGTGGGAATTGTGCTTCTTCACCTGATTCCGCTCCTCACGCCCTTTGGTGTCTCCCTCCTCCTCCACCACGTCCCCACATTCTTTGCATCCCTTCAGGGGACTGTGTGGGCAAGACCGGTTGAGGAAAGATCATTTTTCTTGGATAAGGACTTTGCTGTGGCCCCCAAGGTGGCTTAAAGAGCCCAAACTCTCCTGCTCAGGTGCTCTTGCTGGGAATCCAGGGATTTTAGGAATCACCTGGATTCCTACCCATCCTCACATGTCAAAACTGGAGAGAAACCGTCATGTCCTCATCTTTCCTTCTCCCTTGTCCTGCTTTTGCTTCCCAAGGGAGCAGAACAAAAATAAGTAGTTAAGATGGTGGAAGAGAGTGGAAGTTTTGGAAATCTTTCACGCGGGAAGTTGTGCCAGGCACCAAGAGGTTAAACCCAGCAGTAACTCCTTCCTTTCTCCAGATCCTCCAGCTTTTCCCCCCTGCTCCCCAAGCCCGGACACCCAGAGACTTAGGGAGCTCAGACACGCATGCCTCCTCACTCTTCCTGCAGCTCCCTCCCCACTCGCATGGGAAATCATGAACATCAAGACGGACTGAATGCCCTTTGGACCACCCATTTCTTCCCACTGTTTTGCTTAACTTCAGTCCAAGTTTCCCCCCCAGAATCTCAGGAAGGAATCATCTTTGCTGACTAGGTGTTTAGCCCCACCCTGCTCTCCACCCACGACCCCAATTTTGCACGTCTTGTCCTCCTCTGCCCAGCCTCTCAGTGGTGTAGGGCTAGATGCAGGCAGCCGGCAGGGGCACCTCTCCATGGATCGGGTGACATGGGGAGAGGGAGAGCTGAGCCAGCAGCCCTCTCCCTGGGGCCTCTCCTGGGGATCTCCCTGATGAATCAGTTCTCTACTGGGCATGCTGACGTAGGAGGAAGAGCCAGCGGAGGGGGTCCCTGGGTCATAATTTTGCTGAAATCCGTTCTCATTTCTTACTTCCCCTTCTCTGGACTCATCAGGTTGAGAATGCAGCTCTGGTGAGGTTGCCGAGGGGTGGGTGGGGGTTACCAGGGGCCAGGCAGCGTGAGATGCCTCACCGCACGGCTTATCTCTTAGCCCCAGAACTCATCTTCCTCCCCAAATCCAGGAGAGGCAGGAGCCCTGGGGACCCTGGGGCTGGGAAATAATAGATTGTTTAGCTGTCATCAGATCTGCATTAACAGGCAACCTGGCCTCTCTCCCTCCTTCAGCTGAGGGAGCTACTGAAGGTGATGGCCTTGGACGTCGGGCCAAGGAAGCAACAACACGGGTGTGGGTGAGCTCAAAGGCATGACGGAAGAACAACACCCGAGGGGTTAAAATTCTTTCTCTGCTGCTTCCTGGCTCTCGCTAAACTCCAGCCCCCACTGCCTTTGCCTCTTAATGAGAGCAGCAATCTAGCTTCCTCCTCTTTATTTCTTCAATCAAGGCTCACAGCATCTACAGAATTGATTATCCCTTTCCTGGCTGGAGCCAGAGCCTCAGCTTGACCCGGCAAAATTCCCCTCCGCGTCGTGGAAGCACACGACCTGACCTGAAGCTCCTGGCTTCAGTGTGGCCACAACTTCTCTGTCTGAGCACATGTTGGTCCACCCACCCAGCTGTGCATTTAGAGCCAGTGGATCCCAGTGTCTGCCCAAGTCCCCAAGCCCACAGGCAGAGGATTACTGGAGGGTGGCAAAGATTCTTGCCTTATAATTCAAATTCAGCACCTACCCTGGGCTCCCTACCTCCAAGGCACCACGAAGTCCGAATAGCTCCCGTGTTCTCCTCTTCCTCCCTTGTCTTTCTTTACAGCCTTCCTCTTCCTCCCTACTTTCCCCCTTCTCCTTTTTCTTCCTTTGCTCTTACCCTCCTTCCCTTCCCTCAAATATGTTCCCTCTCCTGTATTTTCTTCCTTCCATCCTTTGCTTCCATTTAAGCTGCGTAGGGAAGTCTCCTCCTCTCTGCTCCCATCCTAAGCATAAACTGAATCTTGAGTCATCTTTTGAGCACCACGGTCTCATGCTACCTGGAGGCCGGGGCACGGCTGGAAGACCACTGGACGTGCTTTTTAGCCTGTTGTCTGAGATGCTGATTGGAGCCGGCATCTCTGCTCCTACTGAGTCAGGGTTGTCTGCCTGGAGGTGGCAGACAGCCAAGACTGGCCCCTCCTGGGAGCTATTAAGAGAGCATGACGGTCTGTCTGTCAGTCAACTCTACTGTATCAAGCGTCTGGTCCGTTCAAAATCCTGCACTCTGTGCTGCAAAAAGACAGGAAAGATGCCGACAGTCCTTGCTCAACACACTCGAGACACAGATCTAGAAACATCTAAATAAGTGGAAGCAGCCTGCAGGTGCCCAGAGCCATCCTCTATCAGAACAGAATGGGGTTAAGAGGGTGAGCGTACAAAGCATGTTCAGAGCCCAGAGAGAAGGTTTCCTTGGTTGGCGTCAAGGGCTTATGTCAAGAATAGCGAGAACCAAGGAGAGCTGGAAGGGGGACGGAGCCGGGAGGAGCCGATCCACAGAGATGTCTGTGCTACGCGTGCTCACCATCCCACCCTCTGACCTACAGCCCCTCCCCCCATCATCCCTCCCCCGACCAGGCTAAACCCATCCACGTGGGACAGAGATCTGGTGCCGGGGTCCTTTCTGCCTTGCGGCCAAAAGCCCTTCTTGCTGAGGAAGCAACGTTACTGCCTGGCTCCCTGGCCTGCCTGTCCTCCTTCTCTTTCCTGTCTCAGCGAGGAGAGAACTTCGGGCTGCTCACCTGGAAAAGGGGGCCGAATGAAGGCTCACTGAGAGGAGGGCGTGGGTGTCTTCTGCTCACTCAGCAGCTGGTACGGAGCAGGCACTGGTGACGATCTGCTGTCCCCTGCCTCTCCGAGGGCCTGGACCAGCGTTCTTCCCTCCCTCTCATCCAAAAAGAAACCAGTCACCCCAGCCTCAGGAAAACCTGATGGCCTCCCTGCTGCTCAGCAGCCCGTGTGCCTTACTCCCCAGCCACCTCCTTCCTAGCCGGAGCCCTTCCTGGGCCCACACAGGCAGCACCAGAGGCCCTTGCACAGGCATTTGGCGCGTCTTCCTCTTGGCCTGAAACCCAGTGGGAGGAGCAGCAGTTGGTCCTGCTGATTCAGCAAATATCTATGCGGCCTGAGTTTCAAAGATCACTTATGAAAAACGGCAGATGGGGGTCAGGTCTGGTGGGGGGAGAGTGAATGAAAGGGAGGGTGACATGAAAAAGTGGGGAGAGCCAGGACAAGCAGCTGGACCCTGGTCTGGAAA